GAAAAATGAAATTTATATCTAATATAATAACTCCTCCACAATTAATGTTTTTCTTTGGATTATTTATTATATACCATTAAGACAAAAAAAAAAATTATTAAAGCAATAGTTTTTTTTTTTAGTAAGCAATATATTCATTATTAGTCCTTAAGATACATTTACAAAGATCAATATATTAGACCATTCAAATTAATGCCAATAATTCCGAGATAATAAAAATATAAAACCCGTAAAAATTCTATGAAACGAAACAGAACCAACTTCGACCGTTAAATATAAATAACAAAATTCAAATAGACACGTAATAAATAACTAAAAAACAATCACAAATTATATAAAAAAAATAAGTATTTAAATATTTACATAAATAGTCGTTATGTAAAAAAATAATAATACCCTCGAACCATAAGATCATAAATTACCAAAACTTAAATAAAGACACGAACATATCTTAAATATCATTTAAATAAAATTTTGATTGTCGAGTATTTTACTAATTAATAATCTAAATTTTTAAAATTTTATTAGATTAGAAAGATATTTATTCTGATAAGAATACTATAAGTACGTTATATAGAAAAAAAAATGAATTTTCAATAAGCCTACCTAATTTGTTGACTCTATACAATCTAATATTTATATCACGCACAAGTTATATTATTATATAACTATCAAACCTATAAATTTATTATTTATAGAAGTAAATTAAGAAAAAAATAAATAATATATAAATAAATTAAGAATGATAATAAATTTTAAATTCTAATAATAAAATATATTTTTAAATTTGAACGTAAGAAGTATGTCATGCTAATGTACATTCGATGATTTACATATCAGGATTAGACACTGATGAATACATTTGAACTACTCGTGTAACTAAAAATTTCGGTAGTTTCACGTAATGAAATCACAAACACTAGTTTTTGCAAACTAATTCTAGCCGCAACCATTGAAAAATAACAAGCACGATTAGTCGCACGATCACAACTCACACAAGTTGGTTATAATATTTTAATGACAAAAATAAATAACAAATATATTATTGTTTCATATACATGTTGGTATAGCTGCATTTTTTTATTACAATATTTATTAATATATTCTACTTTAACCAAAATTGTAATACTAAAAATTATAATATTAATATATAATATGTTAAAAAAATTCAGAAATTATGAAATATTTTATTAGATCACTAAATATTACCATGTCACGTATGGTTTAAACAAAATATCTAAACACAAAACTGAAATCTTTAAATAAATTTTTAAAAACTACAATTAAAAAGCAAAATTAAGTATTATTAAATACTATGTATAAATATATATATATATATATATATATATATATGTGTGTGTGTATTTAAATAAATTCCTTAATTGATTTAAGATTTTACCAATTAAATTG